CCCCCCCCAACATGAGGCAGACCACCTCCCTTCCTCACTTCAAATCTCTGATAAAAACATCGGTTGTCTCATTTCACACTTTGTGAATTGATTTAGTGTTTTTTGTGAGTTCACATGTTTTTAATGCTTTTAATAATTCTTCAGTTATTATTATTATTAGTTATTGTATTTTTTTCATAAATTTTATTCCCATTGTTGTTGTTGTTGTTAAGGACGTTGATAACAGGTTCTGTTTTAAATGTGCTCTATAAATAAAGTTGTCTTGACATTAATATTAAGATGTTAATGTCAAGTCAAGGGAATTAATTCTAAACTAGACCTTAAAGTGAAGTTTCACTCGATGGCCGACTTGTTGGAGCTGTGGCAGATGTTAAATACCAGTACGCAAGTTCAGTCCTGGACAGTCGGCTCACACTACAGGTCCTTCTCAAAGAATGAGCATATTGTGATAAAGGTCATTATTTTCCATAATGTAATGATAAAAATGAAACTTTCATATATTTCAGATTCATTGCACACCAACTGAAATATTTCAGGTCTTTAATTGTTTTAATACTGATGATTATGGCATACAGCTCATGAAAACCCAAAATGCCTGTCCCAAAAAATTAGCATATTTCATCCCACCAATGAAAGACAAGTGTTTTTAATACAAAAAACACCAACCTTCAAATAATCATGTTCAGTTATGCACTCAATACTTGGTCGGGAATCCTTTTGCATGAATGACTGCTTCAATGCGGCGTGGCATGGAGGCAATCAGCCTGTGGCACTGCTGAGGTGTTCTGGAGGCCCAGGATGCTTCGATAGCGGCCTTAAGCTCATCCAGAGTGTTGGGTCTTGTTCTCTCAACTTTCTCTTCACAATATCCCACAGGTTCTCTATGGGGTTCAGGTCAGGAGAGTTGGCAGGCCAATTGAGCACAGTAATACCATGGTCAGTAAACCATTTACCAGTGGTTTTGGCACTGTGAGCAGGTGCCAGGTCGTGCTGAAAAATGAAATCTTCATCTCCATAAAGCTTTTCAGCAGATGGAAGCATGAAGTGCTCCAAAATCTCCTGATAGCTGCTGCATTGACCCTGCCCTTGATAAAACACAGTGGACCAACACCAGCAGCTGACATGGCACCCCAGACCATCACTGACTGTGGGTGCTTCACACTGGACTTCTGGCATTTTGGCATTTCCTTCTCCCCAGTCTTCCTCCAGACTCTGGGACCTTGATTTCCGAATGACATGAAAAAATTGCTTTCATCTGAAAAAAGTACTTTGGACCACTGAGCAACAGTCCAGTGCTGCTTCTCTGTAGCCCAGGTCAGGCGCTTCTGCCGCTGTTTCTGGTTCAAAAGTGGCTTGACCTGGGGAATGCGGCACCTGTAGCCCATTTCCTGCACACGCCTGTGCACGGTGGCTCTGGATGTTTCTACTCCAGACTCAGTCCACTGCTTCCGCAGGTCCCCCAAGGTCTGGAATCGGCCCTTCTCCACAATCCTCCTCAGGGTCCGGTCACCTCTTCTCGTTGTGCAGCGTTTTCTGCCACACTTTTCCCTTCCCACAGACTTCCCACTGAGGTGCCTTGATACAGCACTCTGGGAACAGCCTATTCGTTCAGCAATTTCTTTCTGTGTCTTACCCTCTTGCTTGAGGGTGTCAATGATGGCCTTCTGGACAGCAGTCAGGTCAGCAGTCTTACCCATGATTGAGGTTTTGAGTAATGAACAAGGCTGGGAGTTTTTAAAAGCCTCAGGAATCTTTTGCAGGTGTTTAGAGTTACGTCGTTGATTCAGATGGTTAGGTTAATAGTTGTTTAGAGAACCTTTTCATGATATGCTAATTTTTTGGGACAGGCATTTTGGGTTTTCATGAGCTGTATGCCATAATCATCAGTATTAAAACAATTAAAGACCTGAAATATTTCAGTTGGTGTGCAATGAATCTGAAATATATGAAAGTTTCATTTTTATCATTACATTATGGAAAATAATGACCTTTATCACAATATGCTCATTTTTTGAGAAGGACCTGTATATGTTAAAGAAATGCTCACAAAGACTCTACCTTAAGAAAACTTAATGGTCTTGGGGTTAGTCAGCAAACGGTAGATCTTGTGTACAAGGCGACTGTTGAGTGTTTTAACTTTTCACCTCCCTGCCTGCTGTGGTCGTCTGAGCTGTAGACTAAAAACAAACTTTTAAGAATTGTTTCAGTGGCAGGTAAAATAGTGGGAAAACCACAAAAAGCTCAGTCTCAACTCCAACATTTTTCAGTCAGGTCATCTTGACAGTTTATTTTTTTGTGCTGAAACATTTCGCTTTCAATCCAGAAGGCTTCATCAGTCAAGGAAACACACAACAAAACTGATTCTTCCCCCAACTGCTTACTCCAAATTGGAACAAACCAGTTCTGCTTGTGATAAGATGGTCTCTTTGGTACGCCCCCTCCTCCATTGCCGACCCTCTTCCTTGTTGACAGTCTTGTCAAACTGGTTGAAAACAACAAAGTCCATGCTCAATAATCCAGGTATACAATCCAACATTTAATGTTGGATTGTAAACCTGGATTATTGAGCATGGACTTTGTTCTCAGTCTCAACTGTTTGCAGAAAGAACAAGGGAGACGGCTCGGAATATTTTAGCATCCATCCTCTTGTTCGTCAGTTTGAACCTCTGAGCTCAGGAAGACGTTCTCGTGTCCCTCTGGCAACAAAGAATATCTATAAGACGTCATTTATTACAAGTGCAATAACCATTCTTAACCAAACCAAATATTATCTACCTGTGGTATGCAAAATGTTTTATTCTATGGTTGGAGAGCCGAAGGAAAATGTCCTCCTTGGTGACAAAGTTCTATCTTGTTATCTTTGAAGTCGTGGAGTTACTTTTTACTAAATCTTTCATCAACTGGTCATGAGCGAATCAGACACGAGGCTGGATGGTGTGAACTAACTCGGATTGTTCCTCCAGCTCATTGTTGCTTCTGCAGGACGTGGTCTGGGTTTTAGAGGGGAAGTCCTCACTGGTTCAGTTTTTGTTTTTCCAGCCTCTGAGCTCAGAGTCGTATCTGCAGCTCAGAGGAAAAACACAAAGCCGAGGGGTTTTTCAGCTGTTGCTTAAATGTTGTTTCCTGTGGGTTTGTTTGCCGGATGAATACGAGCCAAAGGCTCAGTTCGATGAATCCTTGTGTTGCTCAGTTGATTTTTATTGGGTCAAATCAGTTTAATGAAGAAGCTGCAGCAGCTTCCTGACTGACGGGAAGAAGCTGCTGCAGCTTCCTGACTGACAGGAAGAAGCTGCTGCAGCTTCCCGACTGACAGGAAGTTTCCTGAAGTTCAGGATTTTATTTGTTGTCCAGAACGATCCTTCAGCTGGAGCTGCAGCTCCTCACAGAACCTCATCAGAGCTGGAACCACCGGTCCTGTTTGTTGTTAACGCTGTGTGGTTTTGGCTCTAGCCACTTCAGCTTTTTTCAGCTGTTTTAGCTGCTTAGCTCTTTAAATGTTCAGCTCATTCAGGACATTTCAACTCGGACTACATTTTATTTTTAAATTATCATTTTTCTGATAAAATTCATTAAAATCTTTTTAAATTCTTATAAAACATTGCTGCTAAACATTTGTCATGTTTGCTTATTTTTAGCTACCGTTTTGGTCATTTTTTTAGCTTCTGTTCAGCTCATTTTAGCTCCTAACTAGTGTTTGCTAATTTTAGCTTTCAGCTGTTGTTGACATTTTAGCTACTGTGTTGCTGGTCTTAGTTTTAGTTCTGATCGCTTTATTTTTAATGATTCCGTCTGAACTCTGAACAACAGCTGAAGTTTACGAAGTTTAAAGCAGCTTAAACTGTGGGTTTTTAGCTCCTTTCAGCTGAAGACATTTTAACGGTTCTGGTCCAAAGTTCTGTTGGACCCGTCCGTGGTTGTTGGCAGCGCAGCTGATCGAGTGTTTCTCCTGCACAGAACAAAACATCCTGCGGGAGCTGGAGAGGAAGAAGGTTCTGGTGTTCACGCCGTCCCGCCGCGTCGCAGGAAGACGGGTCGTGTGTAACGACGACTGCTTCATCGTGAAGCACGCCCTGGAGTCTGACGGCGTGGTGGTGTCCAACGACCAGTACCGGGACCTGCAGGGCCTGAACCCCGAGTGGAAGCGCTTCATCGACGAGCGGCTGCTCATGTACTCCTTCGTCAACAACAAGTGAGTTCCTCAGCAGCTGCTTCGGATCCTCGGCTCAGAGCTGCTGACCTTCAGCAGCTGTCTCGGTCTGATTTCTGCCCCGACGCAGGTTCATGCTCCCTGATGATCCTCTGGGCCGACACGGGCCGACCCTGGAGAACTTCCTGAGAAGGTTTCCCAAGACGCAGAGGAAACAGACGTGTCCTTATGGTAAGAGACCCTCGGCTTCACACAGAACCACCTGAACCCAGGAGAACAGAGAGTTCTCTTAAGTTCTGAGTGTCGGTAAATGTTGCAGAACTTGCAGCCGAGCTGTGCTGCCAGAACCGCCGCTCAATCCAGACCTGATCAGTTAGGTTCTGTTAGGTTCAGATGGAGCTAATGAATAATGTCCATCCAGAACATTTTCTTGTTTTCTTTGAATCAGTTTTTCTGTTATTTTATTACAGATGAATTATTTATTCTTCTCATGTCAAGATAAAGCAACAGTCACGTACAGTACAGTGTTTCAGAATGATGTCATCATGTTCAGAAGGAAAATCCTCAGAATGATGTCATCATGTTCAGAAGGAAAATGCTCAGAATGATGTCATCATGTTCAGAAGAAAAACTCTCAGAATTATGTCATCATGTTCAGAAGAAAAATCCTCTGAATGATGTCATCATGTTCAGAAGAAAAACTCTCAGAATGATATCATGTGCAGGAGGAAAACTCTGAATGATGTCATCATGTTCAGGAGGAAAACTCTGAATGATGTCATCATGTTCAGGAGGAAAACCCTCTGAATGATGTCATCATGTTCAGGA